CCTGCTGACTTTTTTTAACCTGACTAAAATTGAGGGGTAGTTCTCTGGCATGCCTTCTGTTCTGAGTTTTTTTTGTGTAACAGAGGTGCTGGGATAGCTGCCTTGGAGGCTTGGACTCCCACTGATATCTCAGATAGGATTCTTTACCACATACTGTGAAATGTCACTCACTGCTCTTGTAAGAAAACTCATTATTTTGTGACTCTTGTTGCCCTTCTCAGCCTGTTAGTTCTTCAGGTTTTCCAGGTTATGTTCCTGATCTTACCAAAAAAGACTGTAGTACTCCTGTGATCCTACTGTGAAAAACACAGAGCAGGTCATCTGCTTATCAAGGTGAAAAACCCCTTTAGAAAAAAATCTTGGCAAGGTACTTTGAAATTTTAGTCTGAATCGGGAGTAATCAAAAAGACACATTTATGTATCCCCAGTAGAAAATGTCATTCGCTGTTTGGAGAATGATCATAAAGCTGGTAATTCAGTCCTTCCACAAGAGCTCATCTCTTTGTACGTCACTGGTGCAGTGAGATCGCTCTGGAGCCAACCAAAGCATTTTGTAAGAGCCTCTGTTGGTACACACATAACTAGGTGGAACTGCTAGTGTAGAAGTAGAAACTTTTTACTTTTAAAATCTCCTTTTATGAAATTTAAAAATGTGTAAGTAGCAAGGATAGCAAGCTATCTTCCTGTAGGGAGGCAGAAAAGGAAGTGAAAGTATTAGAAGACTTGGTTAAAAATAAAACCTAATGTGTGTCTTTTCCTTTGTCTGCTGCTATTGGTTATAAACCAAAGATTGGACTTGTAGCTCTAGTATCTGCTAGAGAAGTCTACTTTCAAACCCTCTTTATTCAATACAATTATGTTTTTCTTTAAGACACAAAGAATCTTCTGGCTTTTACATGTTGCCTTCATTAATAGATGTGATTTGAGGGGGTGTACTTATATAGATAATACTTGCTTCTATAGAAGTACACAAATTTGATATTTCTTTGAAAATTACCCTTTTACTGGAAGGTAGCCCTCTAATTGTGAGAAGTAAAGCTGCTGTTCCTTTCCAGTAAACAGAATTCCTTACCTTGAAATTTTCAGCTTTTGTCTGTAGTTCAAAAAGTTGTCTGCCAAACTGGGTACTAGTTTTTTAATCTGTTACCTTGGTTCAGTGTCTTAGACATTTCATAAGCGAAATGTTTAGATACAGTAGAACGTGGTCATACAAAGACAACATGACTCATGCAGTGATACGATTTTTATGTAAGTGTTTAAGCTAAAATTGAGTTGTATTCATGCTGTTGTCTGGATCTCATGTATGTTCGTTCTCCTGATATCTTTGATGTTCGTTTTCCTAGGCTGTTGTGACTTGGAGACAAATTCAGAAAGTGCATTCTCTTACTGATTTTTTTTTTTTTTTTTTCTCTTCAGACAACACTGCTTGGTTCGAGCATGATTTTTACTAAGAAGTTAAATTTTTATTTGGAGTGTAAGGGCTTGTGTTCCTTTTCTAAATAACATTATTTGCACCAACTATGAGATTCAGTGTTTTTCATTGCCGTGTTCCTCTGATAGTACACAGGCAACTATATGGAATTACTAATGTAGGAGAAGAAACTTTTTACTTGTGGCTCCTTCCTTGAGCAGCTGTAATTTCTTACTTTTCTTGGTGGGTTGTCATTTCTATGCCACTAACGTGTTCTGTAGAAATATATTGTGATATTATTCTGCAATACGAGCATATAGTGAAATGAATCAAACCTATTATCAGTTTTAGTTAGCTTGCTTTAACTTATAACATTATATACAATAAGTATTTCAACTTCGTTTGTGATTAAATTATAAAATGCCTTTTAAGTTTGACTTATACCAAAACCATACCATGAACATTGTGTAGTGAGCTTCTCCAGAGTCAGCTGCTCTTCTCTTCTTAGAATTTTGTATGCAACAAAATTTATTGCGGTTGGTCAGCTCGCTGACTCTAGAAGATTGTTTTGAAATTGTCTATGTCCCAGCATTTTTAATATATTTCCCTTCAAAAATTTCTATTATGAAAAAGGCACTTGTGATTTATTTAGTAGATAGAGTGAAGCAAATTAAACATTTAAACCTTTTCAAGATGAATCTTGTGTAATTCGGTAAAAGCTTATCAGCTGCATGACTGGGAAATAGTTTACAGCGAACAACTCTGGAACCAAGATACTTCCACACATAGGAAGCCATTTAGTTTATAAATTGCTTGGGGCAGTGAATGTATCCATTTAAAGTCACTTGGAGAGGCAGTGCATCATTATAGCATTATGTATAGCTGCTAATCAGAAGAGACACAATGTGTAAACCTGAAATTAATTTTTGATTACACAGAAGTGAATTATAACTTTTGGTTATTTTGTAAAGCTTTTAAAATTGGTTGTCTTTTAAAGCTGAAGATGAGAGTTTTCTAGCTTAGCAGTTTATCTCTAATTTTAATTTGCTGCATTGAAACTAAAAGTAGAATTGGTATCTTGATAACTGTGTGTAGTGTGTAGCTAATTCCTCTCTCTCTTGGTAATTTACTTGTAAAACACATTATTCTTGAAAATGAAAGGGTGGCTGATTTTGCTTCATAGGGAAGGTCCAGAAATTCATGTAATGGAGATTATCTTGGTCAGAGGTTGCCAGAAACAACCAGATATAGACTTCAAGGTCGGCTTGCGGCAGCCACATCTGTAAGATTTATTGGGATTAATCTGCCTTCTATGTATCCAAGAAGGCTATAATAGAGGGAGTGCTTAGGCAGCTGGCAGTGGAAGCTGGTGCTACCAAAAATGGACTGCATTGTTCATCGTAAGCTTGTCATGGACCTAGTGTTTGTCGTGGCTGCTTGCTGGGTTACTTCACTCTGGTGCTGCAGCTGTTGCTGATGTAGTCCTGGAATCTCTTGTAGCGCTTCCCAATGCATTGTACCAGCATTATACAGGTAGCTGGAGAAACAGAGAAGTTGGTAGGACTTAGTTAGTCTACACACTTAAGTGAGCCGCGCCACCATGTTCATTAGTCTAATTAGAGCCAGGTTGTTACAGTGTAATTGCTTGCCATTTTTATTCAGTATCTTTCTAACAGGGTGCAAGAAGCCCAAATACAGAAGGGCAAGTATGTAGTCAGCACTCTTCCTGGACCAGTACTAGAAAGGCTTAGAAGTTGGTTCATTTTGACCTTGTATTTCAGTAAGGCAGTGTCACAGATTAATGCGAATGCTTTTCTTTCTGGATAGGTGTCAAGAAGTACCTATGAATTTCTACCTATTAGAATGTGTTAGTGACCCAGAGATCACTAATGTGTAAAATCTCTAATTTTATACTTATTTTTATATCTGTCTGCAGATGTAATGTCCTACTTGAGTGAAATTTTAAATTAATGTTTCCTTGAGAAGGCCAGAGAGGCTAATTTACCTAATACTGCATCTGATAAATGAAGGTTAGTAAGTGGAGAAAGAAGGCAATAGTTTTAAGGAATGATGATATAGATTTCAACTGGTGCTAATCAGTCCTCCTTTGTGAAGGAAACCCCTTTTTCTTTGTTTTTCCTGGTAAAAGAAATGAGGTGCAGGACAACTTAACATAATGCAAATATTTCATGTGTAAGCGTTCTAAAGGGGGGATATGAAACAGCCAGGAAGCACAGAAAGTGTTTATACTTCTTGATAACAAGCACTACTATTTCTGAATTGATTCTGCCTCGAATATGAAGAACTTCTGAGTCAGCATATTAAATTGATACAAGAATTGTATGAACTCCTTATTCCTCTACATAAATCCCTTTTATGCTGCCAGATGTTTAACATACTGAAGTTGGGATTTGTTGCTGCTTTCTTGTGGTTGGATCATGCAATTCCTATTCAGACTTCTTATTTCCTGCTAATACCATTGCAAATCTAAAAATTATATGGATTTGGATCCTTGTTTGAGAGAAAGTTCTTTTGCAGTAGCCCTTTTCATTTCAGATGCAATAAAATGAGTTTTGTGCTGTTTCACAGTAACTAATATGCATAGTGGCTTAGTAGGAAAATATTGGTTACTTTTAATTATACCAGATGGCAGATCTCTTGATGATTCAGTGATTTGATTACTGGTTTCGATAGCAGTACAATCTTAGATTTATTATTTTTTTTTAATAATCTAAAAGGAAATGTAGATTCTCATTTAGATCTTGCTGTTCTTTGATCCAAGTTATTGGGTCCAAGTCATTACTCAACTGCCTGTTCAAAACCATTAAACATCACGAGTGACATGGGTTGTAGTGCTAAGTCCTTCATCCCTTAGCAAAACCAGAAACTGACTGTTCCCCAAGGGGGCTGAGTGGCAGGAAGTGTTAGAATAATCCTTCATGAGGAAAACAGTTTAGAGATACCCAGTTTGTTTACTTATTAGGCATAAGTGAAACTTCAGAATCAATATTAGGGATATAGCCTTTCCCCTGCGATCACTCGAATTCTGTAGTAGATCATTGCCTTCAAACCAAACTGTGAGTGAGAAGTTTTGGAGTCTGCTCTGTCCCATAGCTAAGGTCTGAATGCATTTCAAAATTTGAATATAATCCAGCATAGAGTTGTTGACAGATCAAAGTTCAGAATAGGAAATTGTTTCTGAGTAGGAACAATTTATTAAGAGACTATATTTCTCTGTTACCGAATAATCTGAAGGGGACCTATTTTGCACACCTATGTGAGTGCCCTATAGGAGATGGTTCAACTTCATGTGCTATCGTTAAATACATCTTGAGCGTTTCCCTAAGGAGGCTTTTCCAAGTTAGTTTGTTGGGTTTTTTTTTTCATTAGGTAGAGAGGGACTATCTATAACTATATTATGATGGTCTGTTTACCAGAGCCTTCTTTTTTGGAAAATGCTTTTTGAAAAGTGACCATCATGCAGCCCAGATTACACATAGGAGTAACTCGCATTTGACAAAACTACTTGTTTTCCATGTGCTTTTATTTCTGTTGGAGAAGAGGATTCAGAAACTGTTCCAAGGCACAGTCTTATATCTTTGGTTTACCAAGGTTTTGTCACATCTGAATGAACGGTGTCCTGCTCCCTCAAGTTGTTCGAAGAGCCTCTCCAAAAGCTAAAATGCACGGGCCTTGCCTTTCTTACACTTGCTCATTCTGTTGCCAGTGGGTATGCGGGGGACCACAGTATCTTAAAAGCAAAGGCTTGGTGAAGAAAATTGATGCCAGCTTTCAAGAGCAAGGAAGCTAATTCAGGGAACAATTTCATCCAAGGTTAATGGAAGAACAGACCTCCAACACAGTATCAATTGGATCAAGCTTAAAGCAATCAGTTATGCCCTAGTAGCTATAACTCCAGTCCTGGTCAGCCAGGCAGCGCTGGTGATGTTTTACAACACTTTCTCCGTGGCTTTTATCAATAAGGAAGGAGAAACAGGTTTCTCAATTCAATTTCTAGAGTAATATTCTCTGTGCCCAAATGAGGGAAAGAAAACCTTGTTCAGGAACTACAAACAAAATGGTAGCTGTAGATTCTGTTCCAGATAGTTTATAGATGGAGAGAAATTAAACATATATATACATATATATGTATAAAAAAAACCACTTTGGAGGACAGCTGAGTGTGGAGTTACTTTCCCATAAAAAGGCTGTGGGCATCCGGGATCTTGTGACAATCTGGAAGTGTGTGCTGCGGTTACATATTTTCTCCTTGTCTCTTTGTTCAGAATGGTCTGTGTTGTGGGTTCTTACTTCAAAAATTTCAACTCTGAAGACTATTGGCCTTTGTAGGCTATATATCAGTCCCAGGAACTGATAGAATTGTTCATCCCTCTTTCTACTCCAGAGATTAATTCCATGATATGCCTTCACTTGCTGTGGAAGATCAGCAATGCAAAACTATTGTAACTTTTTCTGGTTTATCAATTCAGAAATGGATTTTCTTTTTTTAATGGAAAATTTTCAGGGAAGTTGTAGCTGTTTTCCTGGAAAATTTGTCATGCCTGGCTTAAACCTCCTTCCTTGTATTGATACAAATATTTATACTTTTGGGCTGTCAGCACCACCATGGAACTGGTCTGACGAAAACTGACTGCTTCATGTGGAAGGAGGTCAGGAGTGGCTGAAGATAAGGGTAGACAGGATGAATATCTTTATTTTGGTGGTTGTGTTTGCCTTTGCTGGGTTGAAGAGTTCATGAAACTATCATCTTGTGTATCTAAGTCCCACTAGGTGTTTTCTAGATTGCATTTCACGTTCTAGAATTAATAAAGACTAGCTAAACCATTTAAAATCGTTTGTTGCTGTCTCTGTGAATGTTAAATTGTACTTAATATCCCATTAAAATCTAACAGCTTGTTACTCTAGATAAGTGAACACTGATGCCTTGCAAGTAGTAAATAGTTGTCCAGTAACCTTTAACATAATGCGTTATGTGTTTTAATTGAATCATCAGATTGGCAACATGCTGACCTTTTATTTGTTTGTGGAGGCAGTATTCTCTTTGAAGAAATAGACAGCTGCAGGCCTGAAATTCTCAGGAAGGTGGTTTGGCACATAGCTAGCCAAAGAAGTTTGTGCCCTACCACACCTGCTTTTTCCACTTTCATTCTGTCTCTCTTCAGTTGTACTAATACAGCTGCTTCTGGCACCGCACTGTAAATCAGATCAGTGAAACATTCCTTTCACTTTGTTTAATCACATCCCTTAATTGAATACGTAACCTAAGTGTCTCCTAATACCAGTCCCTTAGAATTTTGATCGCTTTTACCTGCTCAAACAGCCAATAGATAATTTAAAAAGAGATTTCAGCTAAGCTAATGCCATACTGCTTTTTAGATAGTGAGCTATGCTGCTTTTCTGAATCTAGTCAGAAATCCAAGTCATCTAACTGTGCATGTAAAAAATCTGGTGAGTGGGAGCAGAAGTTAGAGAAAAGCCTCATTCATGTATTAAACTTCCAGTTGCCATCATGTGCCATTCCAAGCAGGTATTGCTGGTAGAGAAATATCACTAGCCTTTAGGTGTTTGGGTTTTTTACTACATATCTTTTCTAAATATAGTGAAAACATACTGGTTTGATGGAGCGTAATTGCATGACATGGGAGATTTTGATAGGGATACCACTTTAGGACAACCATCTCTCATTCGCTCTGTCCCTATCACTGCCCTTACACATGAAGTGACAGTACACCTGTGCTGTCAGTTTAGGTGTTCTGTTTGCAGCCGGGTCTTGGTCTGCATGCAGAATATTGAGTGTGCTCCTGGGCACTCTATTGCAGCAAACCAATTAGTTCAATCGGAAACAAAGTCCAAATACAGTTTTGAGACCTGTTCACGCTAGAGGCGTTTACCAGCAGATGATGTGGAGGAGGTAGCATTGTGCAGGGCTCTGTCTGCTGTACACAATTTTTTAGTGCCATCCCAACAGGGTTATATCCTCACACTTTCCAATGCATCCTTGGACAATATACCAGGGCATGCAGCATTTGCCATGAATGTCTTAATTTTAAAGTGTCATTTTAATGGGTTGTTACACAGGCTTCTCATTATGTCAGACACTTTGAAGTAAACAAAACTACACAAAAATGCCCTCAGATAATGCCTGTCTGTGTAGGAAGCGATACAGTTACAGAGCACCCCGTTAAGATTTGGGTATCATTGTGCTGGCAAGTGCTCAATCTGCTTATGGTAACAAGGTGTCTAGAAAAGACACTGGTGACAAGCTTTAACTTAGAGGTAGTAGTGTTTACAAGGGACATGTGCCATACAATTATTAAAAAAAAAAAAAAAAAAAAGTGTTGCGTTCAAGAGGATCATAGCAAAATGTTAATGAACACAAAAGTGTCCATTATTTTAGCAGCGTGAGAGTATTAAAAATTTCAGTGACTCACCTTGTGAACTTCCTTTTGTTTGAATTGCCTGTTTCTGACCAACATCTAACTTTATTTCATTTTTTAATATGTATTAGCATACTAAGTTCTAAAAATTGCACGTGTCTTTTCAGGTTTGCCTGAATCTATTATTGCAGCAGCATGTGCCAGAAGTGGCCAGAGAGTTCTTCATGTTGATTCGTAAGTTACTGCAATAATTTTCCTTATTAAGATTTAGACTGGCTAAAAGTATATCTGTGTCTGTGTCAGGGTAATCTTACGCTGCTGTCTCTACCTTATTTGTGGGGTGTTATTTCCATCAACAGAACAGACAATTTTTGCATGCTAGCTCATTAATTTGGAACACAAGTGATGTGGTCAAGGATGCTGTTGTCCTTCTTTCATACGGACAGAAAGGGTTATGAGTTTAGTGCCCTTCATTATAATTTCTGACAGTAATTATCCTATTCTGGTTTTGTGAGAATTTTCATCTGAGCCATTATCGAATGACAAAATGTTTTACTAGTATCTTACCCGTATCAGTTCTCAATGCCTAGAGAAGTTAATACAAGTGGGTTTGCATTTTAATTGTTATCAGAATGAAGACGAGTGAAATCTGGTTGATAAAGCAGGAGATGAACACAGCACTCTTTGTTTACTGTCTTCTCTCTGTCCCGTGCTAAGTCAGTTTGTAAGAAGAGTACAGAATGCTGTTGAAATCAGTTGAATCAAAAAGTGCTTCTGTTGCACTTTGAAATAGAAGGATTTGCTGAAGCACTTGGAGTAGCATATTTCATTGCTTTCTTTTAAGAGATTAACGTTTCATTTTACTTCACCAATTAGCCAAAGTTAAAAGCTTTTTTATAAACTGTGTAACTATATGGTATGATGCACACTGGGTTTTTTTAGAAAAAAATCAGGATCTTTGAACCTTGGCTTATTTATACACCTGCTTAGCAAAATTTAGTGGTGTGACTAGAGCTCTGGTTTCTGCGGCAAGCTTGAGATCAAATGCTGGAGCCTTAGCTGACCAAGACAAACTCTTAAAATACCCTTCTCTCCCATCTAGCACTTTAAAACTCTTAATTTTCTCATAACACGATTGATCATTACTAGGTTGCTTTACTGTCTGTGTTTTTCTAGAAGATAACAAATGCAATGTATTTTGTGACATTTCTGTGCAAGACACCTGCAGTGTGCCTGCTGTAGTTCATTATGTGACATCAAGGTATGATTATACAGATTTTTTTAATTTTTTTTTTTGGCAGCATTGCCACTGATCTTCATTGTAGTTGGCTCCTGTCCCCTTGCTACTTTTTCAGTCCCATTGTTACTGCAGTTATGCAATTTGCTGGGCTAATACAGTTTTGGGAGGGAGCAAGGACAACCTAACAGCACTGCTGCGGCTAAATTTTGTCATAGCCTAAAATGGGCAATAATTTTTTAGTTTCTGCATTTCAGCCGTGGTAAATACTTGTGCGTTCAACCAAAGTGAGTAATGTAGTAAAATTTAATCTGAAGGTGGGGAGGATATCTTACATGTTTAACTGTGAAATCATAACTCTGTTAATAACCAGTAAAAGTCTATATGGAGACTGGTTTCAGGCAACTTGTTACCTCTTCTCCAGCTGATCCTTGCTGGGTTTTGACAGAGAAGCGTGACCGGTGGTTTTGAGGTGGTGGTAGCATCAAGAGTGCTGTGAGCTTAGATGCTCTGAGCAAGAGTTTTGGCTTTTGTTTGCCAAAAATTACAAGGTTGGCGTAGCGTTTTTTTTTTACATCATATGTTTGAGCTCTTGCCTTTCTATGAAAGCTCTTATGGTATACACCTGTGTGCCAAGCACCTAGATTTAGAGAGTTTTCCCAGAAGCAGTATACATGTTTTCAGTTTTTCTTGTTCTTGCACCAAGAATTTAAAAAGGATATGTGTTCTGCTGTTTGTTTTCTCTGGACATCATCAGTTCAGGATTTAACTTCTGTGGTCTCTTTTGCCTACAGCCCTTCAAAGGACCCATTCATTTTTCAGACATTTATTTCTAGTTTGAAATCATACAGAGTTTCAAAATTTGCAAGACTAGCTCACTAACATGGTTGCATAAAGTATGATTTGCAATTGCTCAGTTTGCTGTTACGCTGCCCACAAAGTCTCTGGCATACTGTCTTAGACTGGAGTGAGGACAGGTGATGCACTTCAGAGTCAGTAGTTTTTATCAATAGGAGGGCATTTGGATTAAGAACTCATCTTAATGAATCTTCAGTCACTATGGACAGTATGGACTACTCTCAGAACTTACAGAAACTGGCACGAAAGAAGTCCTTAAATGGGCTAATATCCTAATATTTTACATCACAAAGGGATAATACACAGCAAGGCAGTGCTTGATGCTCCATATTTAATGTAACTAATGATTCAGCAGAAACAAAGTCAGCTCTTGAGATTGTAGTAAGTTTGAAGAAATGTAGCTACATAGTAGTGATACTGAAGTTAATATAAAGACTTCATGCATGATGTGTAAGGGGATGTTAATTTCAGACATATTGGTGCAGCAATTCTTAAATTAGCTCTTAGATTGCTAGCCAAAATATTAAACCCCTTATTTTAGAATAAGCAGTTATAGAGGGAATACAATAGTTACATTTGGATTTTAAACTTAATGCATATATTATAGGTAGACTACTTAGATCTTGTTAAATGAACAACTTCTGTTATTTCAATTATTTGTATTTATTGGCTATTAAAGTCTGTAATAATAGTTAGCCGCTGGAACTTTGATTTCTTTTATCCATGCCTATTTTTAGCTGTGATGAAGAGCCTTTCGGAAAACTCACAGAAGCAGGCAATTAGAACTGTGGAATACAGATTTTGTTTATTACTGTTTTCACTTAAATATGCTCATTTACATTCACACATGCTTTTGTTTTTATGATGAAAATGAAGGCTTCCACATTTGATTCTTTTCTCCTATGGAGTTATTTTCTAACTCTAGTGCAGGCTAAGGTCAGGGGAAGGTGTTCTTAACCAAGGTTTTCTTCAATCATGTTAGTAGGTGCCATTTTAATTGGTGTATGTGCTCACTGAATCATGGTCTAGAATCTATATCTTGGCAAAAAAATAAAAATGTTTACACTGTAAACCCCTTCCCCATAAATAGAGAAGCATTTCAAGCCATCTGCTTTTTGTAATTAAGTTAGTACTCTTCCAAGAAAAGCCTAGCAAAACCAAAAGAAAAGCCCCACCATGATGCTGTTTGAATTTTAAGTGAAAAGTTAAGTCTTAGAAAGCTTGACAGAGATTCATCTGAATTAAAACTTTTTCATTTTATCCACTATATGTCTAGTTTAATGTACTCATTTCTAGAGGAATTTTCAAGTTTCATTTTACTGAGGTAACAGTGTAAATGAAAATTAATCAACAAAAAACCCTGTCTATATTCATAATCTCACTTTTTAACAATATATATTGTTCCCATCTTGAAGGATCATGAGTTTAAATTTTTTTCGGAGTATAAGAAAATAAGTTTGGGGGTTACTGAAATATTAGTTTGTGTTAGGTGAGCTGCTTTAATCTTTTCTTCTGTACAAAGGTCTGATTCAGTTAGGCACAAGGTATAGGAAACTTATATGGATAAAGTCTTTGTTTATAGTTTGCTTGTACTCATTACCTTGTTTACATACTTTCATTACTTTTAATCTCCAGCCATGTTTGCATTTATCATAATATACTGCATAGGTGATTATGGAAGATAGTTTTGAAGTGGCCTATTATAAAATACTAAGTTCCAAGTTTGATTTATAAACACTGTCCAAGCATCGCCATCAACAGTAGCTAATCTTATTCAAAATAGTCACTTCACTGCAGTGTTGCCATAAATTCCTGCAGACTGATTTTAAACTAAAGTTAGCTTCTGCCAAATAGTAATTGAAGGAGCTCTATTTCTCTGTGCCAGCTATCTGTCTCAATAAACGTAAAATCTGTGGTTCTTTTCAGAGAGCTACATTTACTGTAGATATTAATGAGCTGTTGACATGTGAAATTTCAAGGATGTTTGTTAAGTGATTTAGAAAAGTAATTTACAGTTTAAAATGTGGAGATTGGCACTTAGTTTAAACTTGAAGTTGCTGAAGAAAGGTAGATCAAGACTAAAAGTTGATTACTTGATGTGAATATATTTCCCATGCTAGTTGTTCATATGCATAGGACTTTCTCCTGATGGCTTGCTGTGTTTTCTACTTTTGGTCATTTGCTTCTTGTGTAATTGTATATCTATACAGTTATGTACTAGTTTGGTTACTGAGGATGGGGCAATAAGAGGTGAGGTAAGTTTAGCTACATTTTGTATTTGATTTTCGACATCTAGAACATAGCATTTGTAGACTATAGTTTTATTGTCTATATCTTTCCTTGGTGACTTATTTATCTTTCCATGTAGAGTTTAGTTCAACGACAAAGGTGTGTTGATGCAGAATTTTAACTCCTCTTTTGTGCCCAGTTTGCCCTGTCTGCTTCTCGTGCATTGCTTCTTGATACCTGTTATTTCTCGTATTTTTCGAGCTTACTTTGCTTGTAGAGTACTTGAGTGTTCCTTGTGTCCAAAATTCTGCTTTGTCTCAGTGTCCAAAAGCATGCTGGGCACCCTCCCTTTACCTCTCCCCTCCAAGATACCTGTCTTTGTAGTTTGTTCCACTTCTTGCTAGGCAATCTGTCTCACTTCTTTTGAAACTTGTAAAATATGTAATGTAATACAACCTGTGTCTTCATATAGCCGCCACCTTCTTAATCTTTAACTTCTGTGAAGTAAGGTAGCTGTTTAAGTACAGCAGCCAGAGAGCGAAAAGGTTGCTTCTCCAAGCAGTTCAATTTCTTGCTAGAAAAAGAAAGGAATTCTTTAGCTTTCAGTAAGGAAACCTATACAAAAATGCTTAATTCTGGTTATCTTTTGACCTTTTTTTGAAAAAGTTGGTTTTGTTTTGGTTTTGGTTTAGGATATGATCTCATAGCAAAGGTATTAGAGAGTAAAATGTGGTCTCAGCTGGTCCATGGTAATTACCTTTTGTCATGTTCATATGCCAGGATATAATGTAATATAGTACAACTGACTGCCACCATCACCCTTTTATTGAGCTGAAGGACCTCAAGACCTGTTTGGGTTAAACCCTTCCTCTTGGAAGGCAAGGAAGTGTAGTCCACTTCTCATTCTCCTAAACACGATTACTATGCCAGAATGGGAATTTTTAATACATGTGACTCTGTACTTAATAGATAGCACATGAAACTTTATGGGTTTGAAACATAAGTCATTTTGTGTTCAGATCCTTAAAATCGATGTGGCAGTAACTTCCTTTGCAAAAGACAGCTGCTCTGATGGTTCAAGACTTCTTTCTGAAAGATCAAATGCAGGACAGACACGTACAGGCAGCTCTTGGGAGCAATCATGACGCATCAGCAGGTTTTCGTCAGACATCACCAGCTTTGACTGTTATACCATGGCTGTTACGACGTGGCACTGAGAAGGGCAATCTTCTTAACAGGCTTAGTCCGTGAAATATTTTTTCTGTTCTTGCTTATGTTTTACGTGCGTATCTTGTGCTTTCAGAAGTGTTCGATTTCTCAAATTGCTGTCTGTCTTCAAAAGGGCATTAGGTATTCTCTTGGTTTGAATTCCAGGAACGTTAGTTAGTGGGAAACAATTTGCAGTTTCAGTGTTCTGGACTGGGATTTGCTAATTCTTACAAAGTATTTGAAGGAAAAATGGTAACTGAGAAAAAAAAAATCACAAACTAATGTAGGAGAAGAGAGAATTAAGCTTTTTTGTAGAGGTAAAACTGTACTTGGGCTGCATTTCCAAAACTTTGCAAAAATAGCTTCAGCAGTTCTGCTATTAGATCTGAACTACAGAGCTGAGATTTGAAAAATGTGAACTAAAAGCAGCAGTATTTTAATTCATATGAAAATCCAGATAATACAGAAGTTTTGCGTAAATATCATCTAGGAGATAATGTGTGCTAGAAAAAGAAAACATCTGTGCTCGATCTAACTTGGTAGAAAAATGAATTTCTAACTCTGCTGTTACACCTTCAAAATGTTTCATATTCTTACGTAGGGGATAATTGAATTATAACCCTAAAAAAGAGAGAGACTGTCCATCTTTGTAGTTTGCTAATATAACAAGAGAAGAGAGGAGCTTAGTCCTTGAGATTTGGGGACAATATTTTCGCTTTAATTAGGCTTTGATCTTGACCATTGCTTTAAGGAATTCCTTGGTTCATCTTCAGGGCAATTATAACAAAAATACTGGATTACAAAGGACTCCTAATTGTAAAACCAGTAGGCAGCTCTTTTCAGAATTCCTCTTCAAGATTTTTACTAAAAACCTTGCTCATTGTATCAGTAATCATGTTTGGTCTACCTTCTCTCTGTAGTGTTTTCAGATGAGAAAATTAAGCAATCCTGATTCATTATGTAGTGCAGGGTAAACTAATTATAATTCCAGGAAAGAAAATCTGGAATTTGATGCTTCAGGAGAAGATTAGTATTTGAGGTGATAGAGCATAACTTGGGAGAGGTGCTCAGATGCCGGAGGAAAGGAAGGACAGCTGCAATTCATTTTCCATTTGAGAAAGGCCGTACCATCTTCTCAAAACTGATTGAGCTTCAGAACACCATTATGGAGTGCTTTGTTGAAAAGATTGATTCACATCAGTGGTGGTTAAAAAGAAAAGCAATTTCAAAGGAAAATCCACCTGATGAAAGGAGGAGTGTTTACATCAAAGATGTCCCACAGGTCACAAATAAACTTTTGTAACATTCTTTGAGAATAACATTGATTTCTCTTACTTAAAGTTTTAATGTTAAATATTCTAAATATGCATGAATTTATATTGGTATAGATTCAAGAAACCCAGTCCTAATTTTAGGCAGGTGTTTTCTATGATTTCTGTGATCAATGGCCTTGCTGGCTCTGACAGCCAGATTGTATTCCATATTCAAGGAAACTTGTAACTAAAGCAACAGATTCCCTTACAAATAAATCTTCATGGCTGCGATGTTTGGAAATCCCAGAAGCAGCAGATAATATATGGATATTGAAGTTTTTATTCAGTGGAATCTTAAGAAGCATCAAGAAATTAACCTGCGCCATTGACAGCTAAAACAAAGCTGGAGACTGTCATTGCATGCAATTCAGTTACTGTTTTACAGATTGAAATCTGACAGAATGAGGCGTTTGATATATTTACTCCTCATTGCTTTGGATGCTGTATGATACCAAACAGCAGTACTTTTTAAGCCTCACCCTTGTCATTCACATAAGGAGGTAAATATGAACTCCTTTTTACAGATGATTGGAGTTTCTGACTGGTAACAGATCTGCAGATGGAGCTCTTCTGCTTAGAGTAACCAAATTGCAGGGTAGACTATGTGCGTTCTCTTAAAGTATAGACCCAGTCATCCCAGTTCACGGCCTTAAACACCATGTTCTGTTGTTGAAGCCACCTTTATTCAGTGAATGCTGGATTTTGTTGTCTTTGCAAAAGATGTCCTATTTGTGTTCGTCACTATTGCCTTGCAGAAGCTGAAGGACTTTTTTAGGTCAGTTTCTAGTCAGGAGCAATTAGGCATTGTTTAGCAGACATCTGTCCTTCATATGCTAAGTAAGCACCATGGTATGGAGCATCACCCTCTGGTGCTGTAAAGGGGCTGACACTCTTAATGAAGTCTTTGTCAGTGCAGATAAGCCTTGTCAAAAATGTCCCATCTTAAACAGTAGAATCAAATTGGAATTTAATTTTTCACTTTTATCACACTTATCTCTACAATTTAAAAGTGGAGGAGGTTGTGATAAGATTTTAAGGTCATTCGATTAAATAGTCTTCACATTATTCTGTAAAATGCAAACCCCATCTTCCTCCCTCAATGTGTGTTTGAGTTTTTTTTTTAGTGTATGCAATAGTATCAGATATCCATTCAGGAGGGTATTTTTAGTACCTTTCGTGCTTCTGAAAGCGCCAGAAAACAGCTAAATCCTGAAATACTTTCTTATTTTGCAAGAACTAGTGATTTTTAAAAATGTACTCTATTATTTTTCCTATCAGAGTCATTAAATATTTAAGATGGGACATACATGATAACAAAAGCTAGTTAATCCAACCAATGTTTAGAGAAATATTAACAGAAAAATTTTAAAAGATACTTTCTTTGATTAACAGCAGAACTATGAATTTTAAGTGATTTTAAAAGAAGTAAACTAGTATTTTTCTAGAAAGAAGGTGGTAAATATAAACTGAAAAGGACTCAGGGAGGTATGATCCTTTTTGTACAAATCAGTTCCTTTGGCTCCACCTACAGTATATGCAGTTTAGTAAGGATTTTTGCCAGAGCGTTTTAACAATCTGTAATAAGCATGATCTGTTCTAGTAAGCAGCACATAAATAATAGAGTGAACTTTCCTTTATTTGACATAATGGATGAGAGAGATGTGGTTTCTACTGTCTGGACCCAGTTCCAAAGTACTTAACCCTCCTCTGCCTAGCCACCTCATGAAGTACTGTTAGTTCAGAAGTGGCCTGCAGTGCACTTATGTTAACTTCCAGATCAGCTTCAATCAGAAGCAGTGAAGCTGTGCTTATGTGGCAAAGCTATTAGATCCTGCCAGAACCTGAAACTGTGGAGTGTGGTACAGATGCAAAAGTCCTGAACTGGCTTTTCTGAGAACTGGATTGAAACTGGCAGACTTCTTGGCTTGGCTTCACTCTGAGCAAAGATGTCTATAGTAATGTACATGTTTGAGTTAGAGGTGTGGAGTCAGCCTTGGCCAAGAAGCAGTATTATCTATAATTTCCTTTTACTTACAGTGTCCCATGTAGTTTTCTCAGCATTGTTCATTTTACCCTCCAAATAATTTGCTTTTGGACTATAGTCTGGTCAGAGATGCATACAAATGAGTGAAAAGGGAAATTTTGCATCTCATTAAGACGTGTGAAATATTATACTAAATTTTATATTCTACATCTGTAAAATCTGTCATGGAAAATATTTTGTATGTCTCAAACTTGGTTGTTTTTTCTTTAAACCTGAAGAAGCTATGTTTTATCTGTCCATCAAGTTTCACTGTTTTTTTTTCTTTACAGGAGAAATTACTATGGTGGAAACTGGGCCAGCTTTAGTTTTTCAGGATTATTGTCCTGGATTAAAGAAAATCAGGTAAAAATTTCACAAACTACTTCTTTTAACGTTCCTTAACATTAAATCTTGGTTGTTGGCATAGTTTATTACAAGACAAATTACCGCAACGCTCTTTCTCTTTGGTAATTTGACAGATCAAAGAGGTTTCTAGTTTCCAACTTCACTGGTTAAGACTTAACCATCTGGCCTAGCATTCTAAGACTCTGATGTGCCTGGTTTATTAGTATATTATTATCTGAGACCAAACTGAGACAGAGTCTAGTGCTCAGTCGTACTTTTTGGGTTCTTGAATTTATGTAGAAGCAGCTACACTATTGTTTTGATTCCTTTTCCAGCACCTCCTGTAAATGATAATCTGATCTTTTCCATTTCCTGTTTGAGTTTTTTTCCACTCTCTGATGTTTCAGTCCTTTTTGTTTTTCTTGTGTGCTTCCAGCTGATTCTTCTGAACTGGGAGAAAGGTAGTTATTGGATCCTTCCATTGAAATGTCCTGTAACAAAGATTAAAAGATTAATGTTGATAGTGTATTTTTCGATGACCAAAGTTTATCTAATTCACGACAGTCCACTAGAAATCTTTTGAAGAGAGTATTTATTTAGGAGATTGAGCACTTGAACTATATTATCAAATGGATGTTCGTGTTATTTAGTGAAACGTTATGAGCCTGTTGGTCTGTAGAAGATGGAACTTTTCCAGCTCAGTCTCATGCCTATTTATAACATAGTACTACCTTCTGGCTTACAGTGGAGTTGCTCAATGTGAGAACTTAATATTCTTAGTGTTCTGTTATATGATTTAGAGGTTCCTGTGTGGAGAGATTAATATAATACCCAAATCACTGTGCTTTTTCATATGATCTCTGTTCAGAGAGTTTTGTCACAAAATTTGAAACTAACCTGGCTGTGGCAAACCTGTCTTTTGGTAGATTGTATTCAACTTTCTATTAAAACTTGTATTTCATTTAAGACTGTATTTTCAGATTACTAGAGCTAGTGATGTAGTACACATGTTGGCATGTGGTAATAAAGCAACCAGCTCTAACTGTTTTAACTAAAAAAAAATGAATAGAAAAACCATCAAGACAGTTGAGATGGTTATATGGTTCTTTTTTTTTTTTTTTAATATAAGATGGTACAGCAGATTATTTGAGACTACAGAGATTTATAGTTCAAGAGCAGCTAGCACAGTACAAAACGTAATTTTGTTGTTGTTCTTTGTAAGCAAAAGACGGGTGTCATTGATGAATGTGAAGACTGGCGAAAACTGATCCTTGAGAATGAGGAAGTTATTTCTCTTAGCAAGAAGGATAAAACTATTCAACATGTAGAAGATTTCTGTTTTGGCGAGTAAGTATAAATATAGAAATATACAAATAATTTTATATGCCCAGAGGTAAATTACTTTATTGTGCTTTTGGCTTCAAGCATTTCACCGCGCTGCTATGTTGCGTATTGTCTTAAAAACTAACCATGACCTCTAGAATGTTCTTAATGTCCTTGTGCTTTTGTTGAAATCACTTGCACTTCATTGAAGGTAGCTGATCCTTCTTAAATGACCTTATCTGGATGCAATGTAATTTGTTGGCCAACTTTGTGATTTGGTGGTTTACTTCTGCGTAGAAATCAGAAGTGTTGTGTTTCTGGGTAATATTGGTAGTAGGTAGTTATTCACTGCCATCTATTAGATCTTTCCATTCTTAATTTGGCTAAAAGCTGCTATTCTCATACTGAGATATTAAACCTATAAGTACATGTAACATGAAATAAGTACACAAGAATAGGAACACAAATGGACAGTAGTACTGTAGCTATAAAGTACTTAATTGTGCCAAAATGTTAAGAGTAGTATTTGCTCTTTGTCTCAAGTTATGCATTAAGAAGTGCTTGCCCATTATGCTTTAGAAGGAATTGCGTGGTCAAAGGCTCCTGGTAATGTAATAACAGTTAAACTTTTTGGGCTGTCACCTCCTTTCTGTTTTTGCAGTGAAGCAGCTCAGCTCTTACTTTACATGTAACATGCAAAAAATACGTGCTTAGTTTGAAATACATTCTTTTACTTTTGTGAATGTTTGTTGCATAAGCACATGGAGAATAGTACACCGTCTTAGGACTGATATGTGGTAAATATCTTTTAGTTAGGTATTTGTAGACATACGTCTGCACTAGCAGAAGCTAAGAATACAAATTTAATTTTATTATTGTTTTAAGGGAAGTATGATGCTTTGTAATATCTAAATCATGCAGAAGCTAAGCTTTTCACAATGTCATATTGAAAATCAAGGAACACCTAAAAGTAACCTTGTGAAACAGTAATGGTGAATAGCATGTAAGCAAAGTAATAATGAAGGCAAATTGTATGAGCCTCCATTGAAAACTGAACTATTTCTTTGTATTTATTTTATCATTTTTATCTTTTGGATTTTGTGCTGAACTGAACACTGTTCTGAATTCCTGGAAGGTTCTTTGGGATAGTTATGTAAGTTTAACCTTGAATCCCTTAGATAATATCATAGGTAGCTAAATGAAATGTGACAGATTTGCATGTAGAAACATGTATTTCTTAATATAAACACCACAGGTAAGAAAAAAAAAAAGAGGTGTTAGTTGTACTAATAGAATCTGAAGGTCACAGACTCAGAATATTCCAAAGTTCTGTATTGCACAGTAGTAGCTGCTTGACTGTATTGCAGATGAAATGTTATTATTGTTCTAAAGCAATATCACTTGAATATTGTAATTGTAATCCTGTTGCAATAATAAATATTGTTCAGAACCAGTATTAAATTAGATTAAAGGTTTCATAGTCTCTTAACTTGCGTATGATTTTCCGAAGAAGATGTGATACTGACTGACAGCTGTCTCAAAAACGAGTCCCCAAGCACTAAGACTTCACACTTTGTACAAGTGAGCATGATACTTGAGTCAGCCAAAATGGAAGATTCTGCTTTTAAGCATTTAACTTAGCCTGGCAATACAATGTTGTCTCTCTTGATTACTACCAAAAAAACCCCGAAACACATGAGGAAGAATGGTGAGATTAATAAACCTAGCAAAGAAAGTTTTCCAAAATAACTTAAAACTTTCCAAGAGAGTCAATTATTGTGTTTCTGACAGTTTACACATTCTGGCTAGATTCTGTTGTTTTTGCTTAACTTTTATAACTCCTATGAAGTAACCATTAAACATTTATTTTGAAAGAATAAACAGCTGGGTAGCAGTATAATATACACAGTGCAAATCTGAAATGAATGGCCTTAGAACAAAGTGCATCCATCAAAGGGAAAGAATACTGTGTCTACAGCAAGCTGTATTGAAAAAAGGCAAATGGCTGAAAAATAAATAGTGAACACCTGTGCTGAATAAATTAACCAGCTGGTTGGCAATTTTTCATTTGACCTATCTGAAGGGGTTGCTGTTACAAGGCATTAATAAGACACATTCATTTTAAGATATTCCTTTGTTAGTACCATTAATTGATGAATGGTGGAAGATAATATTCTAAATTTACACAACAATTTGTCTGCAGATGTATCATTTTTTTCTGAATTAGGAAAAGAATTGTGTGTACAGAAGTTCAATTTGAGTCATTTTTATAGACAGTTCTTACATTATTCAGGTATATTTGTTCTTATAGGAAGGGTATCATGAGTTTAGATTATATACAGTTTTTAGGCTTTTGTTATAAAATGTGTAGAGCTGCAAATCATGGAGATTTATGTATTCATTAACAGGAATTGAATGGAGATGTAAAATATGTAAATATAACATTTGTTACACTGCTTTTCAGAGTGATATAGGAAAAATACAATGTATTGTGAATCAAGTTTTATTTTGCTTTTAAAACTAATAATCGAGTATGTTTTAAAATGAGATTCAAGTGTACCTTGAGCTTGGGAGAAGGTAGAAAGAAAACTTGGCTCTGAATTTTTGTGTTATAAAAAGCTTTAGGATGGGTTAAATAAAAGCTTTGTTCTTAGTTACTGCATTAGTGGCAATGGCTTTTGCAGTTTTCTCAAACACCATGTTCCAAATCCCTAAAAAACTCCAAAAATCCAAACAGAACCCCAAAACTTAAGCTACTTTCATTTATATTTTTAGTAGAGATTACTTTTTAAAAAAAAAATTTGGCAAAGTACTTATCTATCTTTGATATTTTATAGTTATTTAAGGCTTGCAATATGAAGCAAAAAGATATAATTAATGTAAAGAAACAGACTTCTTTCATTAGTGCTTCCTTACAGCAGTTCCTGTATTTCCCAGGGCAGTATTTTACCCCATTCATGAGTAAGTGCTTCTTGGTGGCTGTGCACAAGCTGAGAGACTTACCCCAAACTCATTTTTATGAGTCCACGTGAGCTCCCTGAGCTCATAGGTGAGGAGCAACTTTTAAAGGATACAGGATTTTGTTCCCTCCTGCCCCCTGCTTCCATCAGTAAGGCTGCAGGTGTGTGAGGGAGCTTTTTTATATGTATACAGAGTAATTCCTTGCCTTTCAGTGAATTTTAACCATCCTTTTAGTTATTGAAATTTGGTACTGTACGTTTGCAGGTCACCTTTAAAATCATAGTTCATTAGTTTTCAGCCAAGATTAAATTGTTTATTCAGTGCATTAATGGCTTGTGGTATAAAGATAAAAAGATAGTGTGAAACTATTACTGAACTCCTTTCACTTACAATGACATTGATTTGATTCATCTCAGCTGGTAGTATAAACTAAAATTCTAAGTTCAAAAGTACTAGTTTCTAAGGTAGATGTCATTGAAGTTCAAGATAAAAAGAGTACATGAAATTAAAAGTGGAAGTCTGCTTTGAAAGAGGAATTTTAAAGAATTGTGTCATGAAAAGGAACTGGACTATACAGAATAAGCGTGTGGTAATGTCCCTGCCTTTGACTGACTGCCTTCATTTGTGGACAAATTTGTAACACTTGCATAAAAATAACACTACTGTATGAGAGAACCTGATTCTGTATGGCTGTTATCTGAACAACTAATTAGAATGCAGGGTCAGAGTTGAAAAAGTAATCTGAAAGTTCTGCTTAGGCTTCAGGTCAAAATTGTGTCCTTCTCTTACGGACTTGCTACAATAACAGCTGCCAAGTAGTCTCAGTTGTATAAAGCAGTTCTGTTTTCTTCAGTGAGTTTGGTTTTTAGAATACCTGAGTTTAATGCATTTTTGTATTTAAATTTCAAAGGTTTTTTTTTAATCCATAGGAAAAACCTAGTCAAATTGCTTTACTGTTTCTTTTTAAAAATATTATATTTCTGTTGTTTATGTATCTGTGTATTGTGTTTCATCATGAGAGTTTTGATTTTTGTTTTAAGCTCATTCCATCTTTTGAGTCCATGTAAAATAAGAACCCCAGTTTTTGTTGGTTTGTTTGGGTTTTTTTTCCTCCTCCTCAATAAAAATACTCTTGAATTATAGCTTTGCAGTCAAAGAAACAGAATTCTTTAGTGCGTGGTACACCTGATTTGGCCAGGATAAAGAAATTGTAATGCTTTTCATAGAAACGCTTGAGGTTTCCATTCTGGCACTGACTCAAAACTTTAAATACATTTTTAAGACTCTTTAAAAGACTTTTTTTTCCCCTTCTTCCCCTTGTGGTTTTCATCAGTCGGGATCTAGCTGAAGATATCCAAGAAGCTGGTGCATTGCCAAAGCTGCCTGTTTTTGGAGCCTCTGGTGCTGAGGGGGTTGCTCAGGAATCAGAAAAAGAGTGCCCACCAGTGGAGAGTGCCTTTCCGGCGGTGGAGAGCCAGGAACCAGAAAAGGCTACGGGCACTGAGCCAGCAGGTGCAACGGAAGGGAGTAATACAGAAATAACCTCTGAGAGTGAAAGTTCTCATAGTACGGCTTTAGGCGAGTCCACTCTGGAATTGGGAAAAACTGGAGCTGCACCCTTGGAAATTTCTGCCCAAGAACCAAAGAAAATCACGTATTCCCAAATTGTTAGAGAAGGCAGAAGGTTTAATATTGATTTGGTTTCCAAGGTAGGAATTGAATGACTCTTTTCATATTAGTACATTTACTTTGCTTAAAATTCTGAAATTTAAAAAAAAAAATTTAACGTTGAGGAACACGGGACCTTTGAGGCAAAAACCCCACTCTTGGGAAGTAAGCAAGCGTTAGTACCCTTCAGCCAAACAAGAGCCATTTCATATGTGCTCTTTAGTGTTTGTTTATAACCAAAGAGTTAGTAAAACATAGCTCAGAAATATGTCTATAAAAGTAAATTCTCTGAAATTTAGCACTTAATACCTTCAAAATTGCTCTTTTCAAATACTACCATTAAAAAAATTTCTAGTTTTAAACAAGGAAAATCACCCTACTTGCAGATCTTTGGTGTTTTTAAAATTAAAAATAATTTTCCTATTGGAGCACTTCCTGGGTTTTAGATTTTCCTGTGAAACTCTCGTTGGCTGTCTATACTCAGACTAAAGCACTGAATTGTAATAAATTTTATTGGAAAGTAATAATAATTACAGTTAATCCATGAAAGAGAAGCTGACTAAAATTAGTTATCATTGTGTTGAATTCCTGCTAGTGTGTGTTTTACTTAGAGGAAAAACTGTTGCTTTGTCATACTGCCTAAACTCTAAAGTCTGCCTTTTGCGTACTGTGCAGTATATGTATATGGCCTTGCAAATTCAAGTTAAAAGGAATTTTTTCTTACCTCTGTGCTTTAGACTGTATGTGTGCTCTGCAGTGTGAAGTTTTTTCAAAGTTGCATGCTTAATTTTTCATATTCTGTATGAAAAGATCTTTCAAACCTCTGGAAACTGGAAAAAAACTTTTCTTCAATAACTTTAGTTCTTTGTGGAGACACTACAAAAAGTGTTGTTGTCTCTGTGTTCCACATGTGGATACCTCTTTCATGCATCATTGGAATGACATCATGAAAACAATCGTCGATGTATAGTGGTGAAGCAGATAATACTATTTTGTATTCTTTTTATACTTTTACTGTGCCACTGGGTTACATGGTGTTAATTGCAATGAATACCAGAGATTCTGACAGAAGAGTAGTCATTCGGGCAAGGCTAGTAGTTTGTGTTAGTTTCTCTCTGGCACTGGGACACAGACTTTGTTGTAGTCTCCTCATTAGTGTTCCAGTAAACCTTTATCTTGAAAATTCCTGTGTGATCATGCAAATTCGGTAACTCAGGGCCACAAGACTTGAAGCGTGTTTAAAGTAATCTCCAGTGCTTTTCTATTCTGACGTATGTCTTCAGTTAATGGTTACATTTTAGTCCCTTCAGTATTTAATGATATATTTGTAGCTTATAGAAAGGGTAAAGGTAGACAGATTATAAATTAATATAACAGAGTATGACTAAACCTTAACTGGGTGGTTAAGGAATTTACATTTAGAAAATGTGACATTATCGTTTCAGGTAATTTAAGAGACAACTAGTGCTGATTTACACAGACAGGTTTTGGGAAATGAAGGTTCTAAGATACAGTGTTCAGGGATATATAGCATACAATACAAAGAAATTATCCAAGATGACAATGCAAAAAATAGCCTCAAGCTATGACTCCCAGACTAATAAAACTAAATGAGCAGTAGGCTGACACCTTCTCCCTTTCTCTTCTGTGGACTGCTTTGTCTCCTCCATTTGTATGGTCGCTTCAGTTAATTCAATACTATTTTGCACTTATTACATCTTGATATTCTTTTATTCAGATTTTAGTTCACTGTGAGTACTTGTAAATAGTTATAGAAAACACCTTACAAGTTAATACAGTTGGTATCACTGTTTTCTTTTGGTATAAGCACTTTCTCTTTACTCACTGTTTTCTTTTTTTTCTTCGCTGTGCAGCTGCTTTACTCCCGAGGTCTGCTAATTGACCTTCTAATTAAGTCGAACGTTAGCAGATATGCAGAATTTAAAAACGCAACACGAATTCTTGCATTTCGAGAAGGAAAAGTAGAACAGGTATCGTGAAATAATGTATTGCATATGTTCAATTTTATCTTTTTCAAGTCAAGATACTTGAGACTGGTTTCTTGAGAGTTTTGTAGCAATAAGCTAGTATTTTGCCTTAAGATTCTCATTTTTGTTTCATTTCTGGAACCGGAAGGTGTTTGTATGTGCTATATATAAATAGTTTTATTAAAAAAGCAAAAATAGGAATGTGCAGTCCAATAAACTGTTGACAAAAGTCTTTGCCTCATTTCAAATATTTAGCCCGTGATCGACTTGGCAGTTAATTAAAGATTCACAGGTTTTAGGTTTTCAGATTTGTATCATAGACTTGATTTGTCTCTGCTACTTCCAAGAGAAGTCATGGGGTGATAATGCCAACAGGAGATTTTGGCAAAGTTAATTAATACAAACTCTTCTGATTAACACTGCAGTCAGAGATGCAAGTGAAATAGAAGAGAAATAAGAAGGGGAAGAGGCTGAAAAAGATTGAAAAATATTGTGGAAAATTGGTAACTTTTATTATAGTTATAATAGAAAATAATGGAAAGAAATATATAAGATGATAACTATAACAGAAAACAGTAATTTAAAATATTTGTTAGGTAATCGGACTACAGTGTTGCTTGATGCTTTTTACATCCAGAGTATGGAAAGTATCTGAAATTATTAAGAAATATTTTCCAGGTACCTTGTTCTAGAGCAGATGTCTTCAACAGCAGACAGCTCACTATGGTGGAAAAGAGAATGCTAATGAAATTTTTGACATTTTGTTTGGACTATGAACAACACCCTGATGAATACCAAGGTAGTGTTTCATTGAACAGTGTACACTCTCTTCTTAGGAGTTCCTTTAGTTATGCACAATTTTGATAGCTCTCCCGTGTTTTCACGCAATTTATTTTTATGGATTAATTTTCAAAGTATACTTTGACCTTTTCATGGCCTTTTCACCTCAATGTTAAATTTTTCTACTTAAGCACTTGCTCTTCTAGTTCCCACATCATTTATTGTTTACATTTTTCTTTAACAGTAAAATTATATATTACAGCAAGGTTGCAAAATGTCTTTTTTACAATTTTGAGTTGATTTCCTCCCACCTCGCAGGGGTTTTTTAATATGGTGTGATGTATCTGATTTTTCGTTTCTGTTGTTTGGATAGTATTGAAATCTTCACAATATGTTACCACAAAGTCAGAAATAGAGAAAATTGATGTTTTTAACTTTGAAAGTAAATGAAGATTGAAGTCTTTTAGTTGTAGAGGGCAAGTACAAAGTGCCTTTGTCAACTGTTGCACTTATTTAGGCGAGAGAAAATCTGAATAATTTGAGCCATAATGTGCAAAGAATAACAAGCATCAGGTCAAAGAAGAAAATTGGCTAACAGAAGGAAGGTGCTTTGGCTTTATGCACCTGAGAGTACAAAGAATGAAGTGATGTTCTCAGTTCTTGGAGTCTAAAAGTAAACTGAAGCAAAAAAGGAAAAGTCTGTCAAAGGGAAATAATGGGGAAAGAGGAATAGTTAAACTGTTGACATGAGTTTCAGACTGAAGCATATCAGTGCTTTTGTAGCTTGACAGTAGGTTGACTAGGGAGTATTTTTGAAATAATGTAGCATTAAAAGGAAAAATTGTAAAGATACTGGTTTGATTACTTGAACAAGACCCTTAGATGAGGTATAAACATTAGAGAAAACTATTTTAAACATATGCAAGAGAGAATTGGTCAATATTGAGAATGATCTGGTAAGATGAGAGGAAAGAGATTCTGTAATGAACTCTAGAAAATCCTGAAGGGGGAAAATCTCATTAGGCTGAAGTGGTTTATAGATAGGTGATTTCAAGTTTGCTGCTGCTGGAGGAAATGGAAGTTCTCAGAGTGAGAATATAGGTGATATTTAGAAAATTTGTTAAGTAAAAAAAGGAGACGCCACATCAATTTTAAATGAATCCATTGATTAATGTACCTAAATGACATCAGATTTATTTTACATCCAGAGATAGTTAAACAGATTTTGTTCCTACATTTTAATTACCCTGGGAAGTAATTTGAAATATTTCGAGTCAGATTAGTCTAATGTAATGACTTCAGAAATTTAAAATTGCTCTTGGTGAGATCATTACATTTGTGGGAAGGCAGAATTTTAATAGGAAGAGTTCACGATAGTGAGGAATTATTTTTAAAGCTTTTTTTCCTCTAATATTTAGAGTTATGTAAGAAGTCTGAAGTGAGGAAAAACTTGAGAATTTTTTTTTGGAACAAAACAAAAAAACCCCTGTCATTTTATGACTTGCTGCTTGGCTGTACAAAGGGTGGTAAGATACATTTGTAATGAAACAGTGCTTGAATCTGGAACAGAATATATAGCTTGATAATACTAGTCTCAGAATTGATGGAGTTGTTTCTGAATTACCTGTGAATTTATATATAGTAATTACTTTCATTATGAAGATAACTAAAGTTTTTTAGACATCAGTGAAATGCAACACTTGTGTTAAACATCTGAAAGATTTGTGTTTGTTTGCGTTCCAAAATGTGTCAGCAATAGTATTAATTTAAAGGGGAGATTTGCTTCCCCATCCCTGTCATCTTTGTGTCTCATCCATACTTGTTTGTTGCGAGCAAGGCATCAATTTGAAGAAATTACTGCACCTTCTCATCTTTGGGTTAAGACACTATGTGAATGGCTTCTCTGTGCATAAAGGTGCACTCTAACCGAATCAGGATGGATTCAGCAGCACCATTCTTGAATGGGTGTCATTCAGGTATAATATTTTGGGTAATTTACAGGAAACAGCGTCCCAAGGCCCTTCAGTGGATTTTTGTCCACAGTTTCTTACTTTTCTCAGATGATTGAGAAATGGATTTAGATCAAGTCTAACATTGAGAATAGATGAAACCATATTTAGAGGTTGCTTTCTAGACTGTTGGAGACTCATACAATGGGTTTGTGTTATTTTGAAAGAATTTAGTGGAGTGATAATTCTGTCTTCTCAGAGAGCTCACTTTCTGGGCTTAAATTTTTTAACTTTCTTTGACTTGGATTATCCATTTTCAGGAAGATGCTTGTTGAAAAGCTCAGTTGCTTTCGGTTATTTAACTACTTGCTTAGTTGAAGCGTATGAGAAAATACAAATGTTATACCCTTTACCTAAATTTACTTTTTCCTCAGACTACGAGAACAATACATTTGCTCAGTTCTTAAGAACACGGAAGTTAACACCCAGCTTGCAGCACTTTGTTCTTCACTCTATTGCAATGGTTTCAGAGACTGATTGCAGCACTCTTGAAGGTCTTCAGGCAACAAAAAAATTTCTTCAGTGCCTTGGCCGCTATGGCAATACACCATTTTTGTTTCCTCTGTATGGTCAAGGAGAGATACCACAGTGCTTCTGCAGGTAAGCTTCACTCTTCTAACACATATGTTCCAAAAAGGAAATGGAAATACTTGGTAACCTAATGCTAATAGATACCATTCAATAGGAATCATTCTGTCAGCAATTTTGTGCTGGTTTCATTTGCTTTACATTTTCATTGGCTATGAAATTCCTGCCCCCTGCTTTCAAAAAAAGGAGAAAAAAGAAAAAAATAATTGGAAATTATGCTTCTTTAGTATTTTGAAACAGTTTCATTGTATTCCGAATGCAACTTGTGATAGCTGGCTGTTCGGGTGGGTGCCCATGGTAGTAAGTACTAGGGAATGAGAAAGAGATAATTGAACTCCTCCGTAGCTATCCATTTTTAAAACTGTCAGAGGAGACTTGGAGGAATGTCTCTGCAAAGGGATGACTGTGCGTTTTGGTAGGTTGAGATAATTTATGTGTTAGTCTTCCTGAAGTTACAAGAAGATGTACGTTTTCAATTTGTGTTACTAATTAATGCGGAGAGTGCATCTGCCGTTCATAGGTAGATATTTAATAAAGAATTGGATTTTTCTGAAAGAGGCAAAATTGTGCCATGTTGTCCAGTTTATTATTAAATAAGAAAAGTTCTGTAATTCTTTCACCTTTGTTACATCGTAGCCTTATACAAACAGGGCAACTGATGTCAAATCATGGCCTTATTCTCTTGACATAATTTTCTATATCTGTATAGACCACAAACGACTACCTATGAATTGAACAGCGGAAAAGGTATTGTGAAGCCCTGTGACACTGAGCCATATACAGACTGCAGTTTCACATTCTAACATCTTAAACCGCAGCCGTATGTTCTCCACCACTTGAGCCCTAGAACATAAAACAGAAAGCCCTATTGATTCCAGGATAAAACAACATCCACTTCAACCCCTGTACTTGAACTGTGGGCAATGAAAATGCGTGACTCGTGAGGTGTGTTAGGGATCATAGTTCTAGCAGAGGAGTTTTTAATGGATGTTTTTGGGGACCATCAAGAATACATGTGCAGAGGGTGGGTGGTTTTAATTTTCAGTTGTTTCCAACAGTTCAACAGGCTTTTAAAAGGCTGAGGGCTTTTTTAATCTTTTCTTTTGCTGGCAAGCAGCCTTTCCATCTGCTCTATGTGGGTTTTTAATGTAGTAACCTGTAGGTCTGAAGTAAACATTAGCTCTGTCTAAAAAAAGCAGTATTGCATGGTGAGGCCATTTTGTTGTCTGAGTGATGTTTATATATCATTCATTTAAATATCAGTGCAATGTCTTATCTGCTTTGGTCTTTGTTAGTGGGCAAGTTCTGCTTCTTAAGTGTGTGCCACTATTAAGAAATTGTGGTTTACGGCACGTTATTTGACATTGTCTTTCTGTCTTCTCTGTATGATAGATTCTGTTTTTCTTCTCTACAACAGTACTTAAACTAATGCTAGAAGTGGCCTTAGCAGCTTGACCGTATTTGGCAGTGTATAGGATGGGTGCAATTATAGGTTGATAGAAATGTTCTGGAATAAGTGTCATAGTTCATGGAAGGCATCTATAAAGTGGCTGGTTGGCACCAGCAGCTGCCGTATTGTGTAAGGTCTTGTTTGGCCTTAGCAACTAATGAAGGCCATGTGGAATTGTCCTGTGTGGTGTATATATGTAGATTACTGAATGCTTCTATTAGTTCATTAGACAACTAGCCGTTGTTCTGTACTACATTGAATAGCAGTTTATTAACATCCTTTGTCAATAGCCTTTCATCTGTACCTTAAACTGTATTTGTATGGAGATTTAAAAAAATAATTAGGTGCTCAGAGAGACAATTTGTGAACAAGAATTGTTTTTAGGTAAGTACTCCGGACACAGTCATGCAATAGAACTTGTGTTAGTAGATTTTATGGATGTCTTTCTGTCTTTATAGGACTTCATGTGGGACCACCAGATTAGTAAATCAAAAGACTATCTTGCATTCTTGAAAGCCCTTTGGCTTTATTTTGTTTAGTAGCCAGCACATGCAATTTTCTGATCTGTAACAGCAATATATTTCAAGAGTTAGCAATAGGGGTGTCTAGAAGTTGTACAAATATTTTTATTACAAAATCATTCCATGGTCACAGGAAATCTTCAGATGGCCTGAAATTTCTATTTATGTCCATTGATTGCTGCATTTTAGTTTGGGTTTGTTTTTTTTCTAAATTGTTCAAACCAAGAAGTAATTACACTTTTAAAAGGTTGGTATTACAAACATTCTGATAGAAAATGAAGTCTAAATGTCTTTGGCTTAAGGTCTTTTGGGTTTTGATTTTAGCAATTTAGGGGCAATCACAGGGTTTTTTAATTATTTTATTTTATTTTATTTTATTTTTTTAGATTAATCACAGTTTTTATGTGGTCTGCCTTGGGTATTATGTCTTGCTAAAACTGAGCAATATCCGAAGAATACTGTTCAGACTGTATAGTAAAGTGATAACACCACAACCTATACATCATATGCTACAGCTTTTATCACCAGGTTATCAGAATAAGGTGTCACCTGTTCTGTGATTTCTAACCACCGTTCTATATTCTGTTTTAATGTAAACCTCTTAAGCGTTTCTTGCAGCCGGTTACACTGTGTGTTCTCATCAAGGCTACTGTTATAAATGGCATGCATGCATATTTATGTGAATGAGTCAAAGACATTTGTAAGTCACATCCTTGCATTCTAAATGAATTCTGCATAAACAGTACAACGTTTTATAACTACTGACGACACTTGAGTGAGTAAAAGCGGTGTTAGTTCTTTATTGGTTTAAACAGGTATGGTTTAGGAGAGAAAATTAAACTTTTATATCCCTGTAATGTACCTCCCAATATGTTGAGGTACAGATGTGAGATTTTTCTCTCCATAAATTGGATTCGTGGTACAAAGAAGGACATTGGAAGCCTCATGCTATTGACAAGCAGCGAAACTTTACTGGACTGTATAACGGCTTCCTTTGGTTCAGACTTCTTGGTATGAAACTGTTATGTCTCTTCCTCTCTAATGAAGCAGTGGTAGTGTTACGCTTAGAAAAATAAATATAGTAGTATCTCATTCTTGAGGAAAACCCAATCAAGCCTTTACATTTGATGTGGTAAACATGAGACACTGGAACTTTGATATGTAAGGCAGCTAGGGAAATCAGTATGTTTTGCAGTTTGCTGTTAACATGTCTGTTGTAAATCTGTAATACAGCTTTCAGTTTCTTGAAAAAATGACACCAAAGAAAAACTATAATTTGGCATCATTGTAAACTGTGAAGTCTCAGTGATACAATGTTTAGAATATTTAATGTGATTTTGATGGTTTTTTCTGGTTTTAGAAAACACTTTTGGTTCCCTTTTACAGTTCACCTCAATGAAATATGCATCTTATTTTCAGTTTTCCTTTGAGAGGAAGTCTTGCTGGAAGCTTTCAGTTGTGATTCTTTTCACCTGTGACCAGTGTTGTTTAATGAATGACAGCTGAGAAGTCAGTTGCAGGTTGTGGCCTCACTTCTGTGATTTTTTTCTCAGTGCTTCCTTTATGAACACACTGGATTTTGGGGGAGGCTGTGCATAGTTTCTCTTCAGTTTGGTTTTCGATTCTTTCTTCTAGACTCTCGCAAACATGAACATCTAAATGGAAATAGGACTTTTTGAGGAGTGGTAGTGTAGTTTTTTCCAGTTTGAAGTTTTAGAGGGAATTGGAGACTATGTGCTGTCTGTCATCCCATAAAGCTTCTAGGGGGTGACACATAATGTCACTTTTCTCTTTGTTTAGGGTCATCCAAGAATTGACAGAGGTGGTCATGGTAATAGGTGTTGAGGTGGCAGAATGTATTCAGCTGCTTTGCTGTAGGCATTAGTGATTCACTGACTTTTATGGGTAGTCAGTTAATGACTTGCATTTCCTGTAAATAGGCTTTGAACTTTTACATTGTGTGTATTTGGTTGGCAATGTAACCTTTTCTATGTAGTTGTTACAGATTCCAGCTGAAATTAGTCATTTTTGTGTTAATGCCAGTGACAGTAGTGATTTTGGGATGGAGGAAAGATCTGATTAAGACGGTTCATCTTTTTCAGCCCCTATATTTACAAGAAGATTGAGAGTCCAGGCTGAGGTATGATGGATTGTGTGATTGATTTGGAAGGTTCCTGTATATATTTCAAAAATGAATAATCAGGTTTTACCCTTACATCTGAGCTATTATCTGCTACAAATGTTGAAGCTTCTGAGGTAGTCTCAGGTACTTTAACATTTCCAATTGTGTCCCTGTTACAATCTCTAGGAAGGTTTTAGTGTTCTAAAATAAAGAGTGGACTTTAGGAAACCTTACTGTGATAAGCACTGAGAACTGATATATTAAAAATTCAGTGTAACATCCTTTTTGTTTGAATCTATACATGAGTAGCATGTCTCTACATGTGAGCCATATGCATAACTTTTCTGAATGTTAATTATATCATTTGGCATATTAATGAGAAATTCAAACAATGTTAATTCCTTGTGACGATCAGATATGACAGATTTGAGTCTTAGCACATGCGCAATTCTGTGCAAGTTTGAAAGAGTCACAGGTGATTTAAAAAGCGTAGGCTGTATCTGAGATATCAGTTCAGTTCTACATTTCAAAATACATACTTTCATATTTATATATCTCTTATGACTTAGGATTATTGCTTATCTTTGGACCTGAAAATTTATTTTGAAATTGCTGACAACCTGGTTTTTCGTAACATACTGCCTAGTAAGGGTAGCTGCAATGCTGCTTTCCTCAATTATTCTCACTTCTATTTCAGTGAAATAATAAAACTTTTTATGTAGCTTGGCTTTTAAAGACAAACCTAATATATATCTTTTTGCTTTGTTGGCAGATGAATGCAAAATGAGCAAGGTAGTTAGCATGATTGTTTGTAGGATCAGTTGTTTGTTTTTCCCTCTAAAGAGAAACTCTTTCTTGGGATAAACATCAGGGCAGTGAGATAATCCATCATTCTGAGACCTGTTCACTAGTGATGGAT